GGCCCGTTTGACCTTGAAATAAAGGTCAAAGGTCAAATCCAAGGGCATATTTGAAATCTACACATATGACTTTTGGAAAGCTGTCTGTAGAAATTTTTCCCATAACTCCTTTCGTAGGGTAGATAATTAGCATTTAATTTTGCCATTTTTAGACAAGGGTGCATTGCAATGAGTGCCACACCTAGACCCCAATACCGACAAAGCCCAAATTTTACGTGGAACGAGTTGAGATTATAGGTGACCTAAATCCAAGAGATGGGTACAGGGGCCCTTACCGTCTAGGAGGAGAAGCGGTAACGGTGACTTGGTGGCGGAGCCGCAGGAGCCGGCGGAACATACGGGTCGGGACTAAAACCATGGGTACCGCCAGCGCCTACGCTGGTGGTACAATAACATGGTGATTATAAAGTTTATTTTCTTAAAGACTAAATAAAGTGTACTTACATGAATATGTGGTTCCATCACTTCCACAGACATAATCTTCCCATGATCTGCATCTTATGGTTGGGCAACAATTGTATGCCAATGCACTTGTGTTTCTGACACAGTTCATGTAGTCTAGAGACTCCTTGCCTATATAAAAACAAATGAATATAAATGAATTGATATGCTAAGCACATATCTAAGGGTTTTGGCATACTTTCATGAAAAATTATGTAAATCTAATTTTTTCATTTCCTTTGAAAACACCAAGGCAAATTTTTTCTCAGCCATTTATTGGCAATAATTTGGTAATGTTAATTTTGGTCTGCTGTTCAGGTACATGTAATACTGCATACATGTAATACTGATTTCAGAAACTGGAAGTACAACATGTACATGCAGTATAAAGTCTCCCTTTTACTTAACAAGGGATTTAAAATTCTTAAACGCAAAAAGGGTCCCTCCTTTTGATATTAGGTAGACTTTGCCTGGATTAAGTTAGTTCAGGTTTGGCCTCTGTCTTACTTACAATCATATCTTCTGTTAGTGTCACTGGCACATACAGGTTTGCTGTCATTTGCACATTCTTTAAGGACACACTTAGAGTAATGTCCCGCCACTTCACAGTATCCTGAGTGGGCTATCTTGGTGTTGGTGCCATTCCTACAGTTCCAGTAATCTATGCTGTTTTCACCTGAAGTTCAGTAGAAATATCTGTAATTTTTTATCAAATAATGAGAGTTATACTTTTGCTTTGTGGCAGAATCGCAACTCTGCTATGTCATCATTTTTACAATTAAGGCATTTGTGGAGATTGAGTGTTTATTTGGGGATTCTAGAAAACTGATGTTAAAATACAATTGATAAATACAGATCATTGTTTTCAATTTTAGTTTTAACAGCTCATGATGGTGTTTTTAACAGCTTATATTCACACACACACACACACAAAAAAAAACTATATGCTGTTTTGATATGTTTTCTTATTACAGCTAATTATAACTTTTACATTTTTTTGTTTTGATAACTGCATTAAAAAACTCACACTGATAGTTTTTGCCATCAGTTCCACATTGCACATCTCTGTAACGGCAGCCCTTGTGAGTGCAGCATTTGGCTACCTTAATACTGGTCTGATACACACAGTTTAAGTAATCAAGCCTTTCTTTACCTGGAAATATCAACAAGTGTTTTGCAAGTTTAAGCAACAAAAGCCAAAAACCACACAAAAACTGTGTACCACATATGTTTTTATGTAAATTTGAGCACCAGTATATCAGGTACTTAAGACATGTTTTATTGACTGAAAGTTTCTAACAGTATAGATATTATGAATGAAAAGGTTTGTAAGTATTACCAATATAGATATCTTCTAGTATACAAGGTAAATCACACTATTGGAGTGCATGGTTATAGGCAAAGTTACATTTCTTAACATTAATATGTAGCCAGCAATTAAAAAAAATTGTGTTCTTTTTTGGAAAAAGTTTATCTTTTTACCACAAAAGCTACTGGTGCTTCTTTTTATTCAAATTTTGACATAAAGTAGAATTTTTCCTAGCCAAAAGGGTGTTTAACCCCCCCTCTCCAACCTAGCTCTGCCTATAGCTATATGGGCTTAGCTGTCTTCTAAGACAGTTAAGCCCATCTATTAAAATAGATATTGCTCAATGTTTTTGTTCCACACACATACATGTATACTGTTTTCCATCATTTCCACACACTTGTCTACTGTTTGGAGCACATTCATTCAGTGAACACTTGGAGAAGGAAGTAGCAGAAGTCCTGCATGACCCAGTGTGAGCAACCTGAACAGTGTTGTTGTTTCTGCAGTTCCAGTATGTAACACTACTAGCACCTTGATGAAAAAATAAGAACTTATTCATGTCATATTTTTCTTTCAAATATAACTGTAGGTTCACTGTAAAAAGAACAATGTTAACACATATACTTTACAGACTTGTTATTGAAATAGTTGGGATGGAATTCAATGTTTATCAGTATGTACAACTTAACAAGATAATTAAAAAAGAATTCCAAAACTTGGACAATACTTGACTATAAAAACAAATTTAAAAATAAAATATCTATCTTAAATATTGTATGTTAGGTAAGAAGGTTCTATTAAAGGTTTTATTTTGGATTGGGGAATAACAGTGTAAACATCACTTAAAATTAATTTTCTGGTGTCATTTATAATTTTCCAGTATTTCTAATTATTTTATTTCCAGTACAGTCACTTTCATCTAAAGTTCCAAACCTCTTAAATATTCTAAAAATATAAATTTTTAAGACCATACTTCTTTTAACTTGTTTAAGTTAAGTGAACAATTTAAATGCATATGCTTTCTATAAATGCACTTGCTTTGTACAAAAACTCCTTTTAGTGCTGGAGCAGTATTTTTACTTCTTAAAAATGATGCAACATGCAAATAATGATTATCCTTAGGTAAATAAAAATGGCTGCGTTATGAAAAGGTTAATTCCACATACCATCTTTTCACCTCTAAACATTCAACGCCAAGATGTATACTCACAACTGTAGGTTTTTCCATCTGTACCACATACACTGCTATCGCGATAGTAACAACTTCTTATGTTTTCACAACACTGGCCTTTATATAGGATTCCTATCCTGGTGTCCTGCAAACAGTTCAAGTAATCAAGGGCCTCTTTACCTGAAAAACATGTAAACTTGCATATGATGAGACAATATTACCAAATAATTGTGGTGCAAATGTGGTCAAGGAACCTGTTATAATGTATAAAAATGATTTTACATGTAAATTATAGTTATTTCTCACTTATTGTATTTGCATAATTTTGCTGTTTTTCTTTAAATAAAGTATGAATGACTTTAAATGAAATCTCTTTTAGTGACATTATGTTAACTTTTTTAAATAATAAAAGGGTATAATAAGTTAGGTAAAAATCTATTTAAACTTCATTGTGACTACATAGGAACAGTTTCTCTATTTTCTAATGGTTGACCACCTCTCTGTTAAAACTGTACATGTATGCATACATGCCTGTGTGTGTGTGTGTGTGTGTGTGTGCATGTGTGCGTGTGTGCCTGTGTGTGTGTGTGTATGTGTGTGTGTGCTCAGATAGGTATGTACGTAAGAGGAATCTTAAAAATTGTGTGAATGTTTGGCTGTATTCTCAGAGCTTTTAGATCGATCTATCTCCGCGGGGAGTCTCACTAGATTATTGTCAGATAATCCGGCTTAAATGTCCGTCCCGCCTACTACAAGCTGTAAGGGGGTAATTAACTTTCGTGTCAGCTCGGCTGACAGCTATTTAGCGTGAACCCCCAGGGAGTTAGGTCGATCTAAAAGAGATCGATCTAATCTCTGGAAATGGGGTCTTTGTCTACTTACATTGGTACTGCTTTCCATTTCTAGCACACACAGGTTTGGCATCAGCTGGACACTTGACCTGTTGGCACTTGCCACACTGACCTTTGTGGACAACAGTGACGTTGGTGCCACGGTAACAATTCCAATAATCAAGGTTATTTTCACCTAAATTAGGAAAAGGAATATATATATATATGGTCATTGAACATAATTAACAGCTAGTTTATAATGATGAGACTTATTCTAAATGTGTTAAAACAGTTTTGAAGTCCATATAGATTGAAATTTACCTTCTAAAATAAGCTACAGGAGTTTGTGGTTGCTTCACATCAGTAGTAAGATCTTTTGCATAATTTACATCTACAATATGTGCATGCACATAAACATTGCACAGGAGATAGAAACTTACATGCATAGCTGTGGTAGTCACTGCCACAAACATATGGATAGGGTGAGGGGCATCCTTTATACATGCACTGTCTTTTGGTTGTACTTGGCAACTGTTGTGTAGAAACTGGGGGTTTAACAGTAGTGGGAACTTTGGCTGAGGTTGTTGTAGCCTTAGACAGGACAGCTGCAGTGGCAGTTGGTTTTTGGCTGGCAATTGATTTTTGGGTACTTGCTGGATTTCTCGTGGAAGTTAATTCTGGGGTAGTTGTTGGTTCCGGTGTGGTCAGTTCTACAGTGGTTGTGGGTTTAGGAGTGGTAAGTTCAGGAGTTGATGTAGTTGGAACAGTTGTGGATTTTATAGTTGTGGTTGGTTTGGGGGTAGTAGTTGGTTCTGGGGTAGTTGTGGTTGGTTCTGGAGTGGTTGTGGTTGGTTCTGGAGTGGTTGTGGTTGGTTCTGGGGTGGTTGTAGTTGGCTTGGTGATAGTGGTTGGTTTTGATGTTGTATATTTTGAGCATTCTCCGGGCCCTAGACTGAAAAGAGTCTGCCCTTGCTGTTTCATCAGGCACTCTGATATCTCCAGTTCACAAGCATTTCCTTAAAAAAATGTAAAAGTAAAAGATTATCTTTTAATTTTCCTCCGTAAAAAGTGTTACTTAAATTAAAACCTTTGATTTTAAGGGTATGTTATCATTGAGATAGTAAAAATGAGGTTTTAACTGCATCTGATTATTCAATAATGCATTTACCTTTGTGCATATTTACAACAATAAAAATTCCCTCAAAAATATGAAATATCAGCGTTTATATTTCTCATTGCTATGTATAATAAGCATAGGCAAACTCAAAGCTTTTTTTGTCAATTTAACATCTTTCAACTTTTAGGTGAGACAGCAATCCGTATGGGGCATAACTTCATCTCTGAACATGACTTTTATTACAAAAAAAATGGCATAGTTGACCACAAGTGTATGGGCTTCAATCCCATGCTGTCATATTTTTATTATGGACAAGCCCCTAATTACAGATTTTGCATTAAACAAAGGTATTACTTTGCTTTATCAATGAAAAAAAATCTAAACTTTGACTTATAAGAAAAATTGCAGGCAGGGTTTTTGAATACTAAATGGTGTCATTAAATTGGTGTTTAAATGGTGTTAATGGGTGCTTAGGTAAAGGAGAAATTTGAGAAAAAAACTATTTTTCTATTTTTACTCCAAAATTACAATTGTGAAGTCACCCATAAGATGAAATGTGTGTAAATATTAATTAATTAAGTCACTGAACACTAACACTGAATATTCATCTGTAATCCACCAAATGTATGTCGCAGGCAGTAAATATGGAGTTTTTGGCAAATGGTTTGAGTATCCTTTATTAAGACTTGCCCAGCTAGCAACCCATATTTCAGATCATAATCTTATTCTAAAATGTATTTGACACAAAATGTTACTGTGGTAATTAAACATAAATTCAAGACAAATTTATGTATAATCTGTGTGCATCATGACCAGTGGAGCTACATGTATACTGAAACATGTATAGGCACACATAACACAAATACAGTTACATAGATGTATATTACTGGGAATAGATGAGGGTCTTACCATATGTCCTTGAATCACTTCCACATACAGGGATATACTCTTCTGGACAAACTTTGGCACAGCCAGCTTCTTGGCATTTCACAAAACTGCTGGTCACTAGGAATGAATAAATTTAATAATTAACTGACAGAAACTATAATCAAAAGAGGATGTACAGAAAATGCTCTTATAAGTTCCTGTATTTTTAAACTGTTTTACAATTATTTATTATATTTAAGAGAATGCCTAATTTTTTATTCAATCAAATATATACCTGTTAGACACAGCAGAAAAAAGGTCTTCATCTTCATAGGTGTCTTCTTGTATGTGTGCCAGGCAGCGTGTACTTGATAAGGACACCTGAGAAGACTGTGGGTAGTAGAACAGCTGTATGGGACGTGGTAGTGTATATCTGTTCCACATGCAGTCACAGTCTGAACTTGATGACCACCAGGTCTGTCAATGTGATAATAACTTCAATGTGCACAGCATGGCAGATGACTTTAAATGAAAATAAAATAAAAGGCAGCA